TTCAGAAGAAGGAGGACCTCCAGGAGAAGACCCCTTACGTGGTCTTTAGCTTCATGTACATCCTCGTGGGGCTGACTGTGATCGGAGCCTTCCTCAACCTGGTGGTGCTGAGGTTCCTCACTATGAACAGCGAGGACGAGAAGCGGGATGCGCAGGAGCGGGCCTCGCTGAAGAGGGGCCGTAACCTCACGGCCCTGAGTTTGGGGCAGGAGAATCACTGCCACAGCAACCTGTTCTTGCCCATCGAGGAGGGCACCAGCTGCACCAACCTCATCCTGCCGTCGGCAGAGGAGCGCGGGCTCTACTCGCCTCTGCCCCTGCCCTTAAACGCCAGCCAGTCTCGGCCCCAGCTCAGCTCGCTCTGCAGCTGCGTCTGCTATCACCTGGGCCTCTGCCACTGCTCAGCCCCGTCCCCAAACAAGTGCCCTGAGTGCAACATCAACTCGGTGTACTGCAACTCCGTCTCCTACAAGATTCAAGGGTGCTCCTCGAGCAGGAACGATACGGTTGTGTCCTCTCCAGGCAGCACGCTTTCTCCTGGGCTCAGCCTCCGAGACCTGCCACGCTTCAGGAGGAAGTCATTGTAACGGGGAAGAACTTTAAAGTGTCTGGTTTAGATAGCGAGAATGCTGTAAGAGCATGTCTTTTGTAGCACGAGTTAGCAAAGGCCATTTTTAAACACTACAGATAAGTGAGCATGTCTTTCTAAAGGACAGCAGTTGAGGACTTGCCATTATAATCAGGGTTGGGGAGTAGCAGAGCACATTGTAACTTACGCATTTAAAATGCAAAATATGAATAACTGTGTTTCATTACAGTTACATTTTAAATGGGTGGTAGTCAAATTATAGTTACATCCAAAAAGTATTTTAGATGACCAAAGTGACTCTTTGAATTTTAATGTCATTTATGTAATTTAAACATTAATGTAAACTGTATCGGGCAATTAGTGGAAACAGCAATTGGTGATTCTCTGAATCTGACGGTCTGCAAAAGCATCCTAAGATATGTTTTTTTCATACCCCTTGCAAAAAATGCAAAATTGTAATTTTTTTAACAAAATTAGAGGGATCATAAAAACTGCATTTTAGTACTGTCCTGAATAAGCGATTTCACACAACAGATGTTTAGATACTGTACTCCACAAGACAAAATAACTGAATTTATAGAAACTGTAGGACTGTTGTCATGTTTTGTGATGGTTGTTCATGAGTCTCTTGTTAGTCCTGAGCATCGCTGTTCTTCAGAAAAATCCTCCAGATCCTCACTTTCTCAGGTTTTCCAGCATCTTCTGCTGTCCAACAATGACTGTATGATTTTGAGATGCATCTTTTCACACTGAGGGCAGCTGAGGGACTCACATACAACTATTACAGAAGATGGAAACATTCGCTGATGCTCAAGAAGGAAACAGTGCTTTAAGAGCTTTTGAACAGGATGATTTCTTATTTTGTTTCAAGATTTTTTTTTTGTTACTGCCCTTTAGAATCTAATACTTACATGTTTCCCAGAAAGACAAAATAAATACAATTTAATGCATCGTGCTGCTTTCTTGAGCATCAGTAAATTCCTTATTTATTAATTTATTTTTAAAGATTGTCTGCACTTTTTCCCTTTTAAGAAATATTGTGGGACACTCATTTTGTTAAAAATTATACGCAGACGCAAACCAACATCCTACGTTTTGTAGATGTCATTTTTCCCCAGAGGACCCTTTGTGTTACATACCTTATTAGTATTACAAAGCATTCAAAAGTGTTTAGATTAAGTTACAAAACTTGAGTAATCTAACTAAATGTGTTACAAATTACTTTTTAAAGTTGTATTTTGTAATCTGCAGTGAAATACATTTTAAATATAACCCTCCCAACCCTGACTATAATGGCAAAGGAGAGACGTATGGCAACCATAACAATCTCTTAAAATCAAAATGTTGTCTGTTACAACACGTACAGAAAGATTCTTAGATCATCTCAAACCTTATTAATGTCCGCTGCATTGAACTAGGAACCGCACAAGTGCATAAAATGAAATGCCATGTGACGTTTTTAAATGAGGTGTGCTGATCTAAAAATGTGAGGTTTACTGAGAGACAGATCTTCCCATCATTGTGCCTTTGAGCAAGACACTGTAGACACTCCTGGAGGCGGCTGTAGGAGACGCTTGCTGTATGGTCACGCACTTCACTCTCAAATACATTTAAAACTTCTGTGCTCAGAAACAGAAGTCAGTCATATCAGTATGAATGTACACAATTGGGAAAATCATATTTGTTTTCAGTATTCAGTAAAAAGTATGTGCATGTTTTGGTTGTTTTGCAATGCTTGCACAATATATAATGATGAATGCCTTTGTCTATGCTTATTAAGTTACGGTGTTTTTATTGTTATTGTTTTTTCAGTAGTTTAGCATGTAACCAGAACAGGAAAAGTATGACCAAATCAATGCAGAAATGAAACGGAACCTCTCTGGTCTACAGGAGACGTTCATTGTGAAAGTCTAAAATTTAAAGGGGTCATATGATGTTGCTAAAAAGAACATTATTTTGTATATTTGGTGTAATGCAATGTGTTTATGCGGTTTAAGGTTAAAAAAACACATTATTTTCCACATACTGTACATTATTGTTTCTCCTCTATGCCCCGCCTTTCTGAAACGCGTCGATTTTTACAAAGCTCATCGTTCTGAAAAGCGAGGTGTGCTGTGATTGGCCAGCTATCCAGTGTGTTGTGATTGGCCGAATTCCTCAAGCGTGTGACGGAAATGTTACGCCCCTACCATACTGTGTTTCCATGTGTCCCGGCGCGACGAGACAAAACCAATAAAACCCATTATAAACGAGGCATTTGTTGCATCCAGTGGGGACATAATTACGGATTATAATGACATACTGTGTTTTTACGCTTTGCGTTGTGAGCGTTTTAGGTAGGTGTGGCTAACTCTTAACTTTTATAAAGAATATCTCTTTGGATTTGATACTTTAGTCTTTACAACTTTACAGATCTTCTTTATGCACCAAGAGCTTGTAACACTTCAAAGAGAAAGGAAACATTGAAATCGCATCATATGACCCCTTTAAATTCTGATGGAAATAATTTTGACAACGAGTTTACAATTAAAAACCCTCAGAAAGATGTACAGTATGTTTTCAATTATCTGATTGTTTAATATTTAAGGAGAGCCATTTACTGTAAATTAATTGTCCATTAACGTTTATGGTAAACAGTTGTAAACAAATAAAGAGTTGTACACTTCCTGATTTTCATTTGTCACTTACAACAGTCCATACAAAGACTGAAAAATGCAAGAATATCATTAATATCATAATTTTCTCAATGCTTCACATTTTTGAGCAATTTTAATGTGATTTTTATGAAACTGTTGTCAAAGTGATTTTACTGAATGTATGAAGTGTTTTTCAAAAATGAGGGCAGAACGGCAGGTGAGTCGACCAATGAAATCGAAGCGGGGGAGGGACTACCTCAGACACGCTGTTAAATACAGTACTTGCAGAAAATGCTATATGTTGCGTGCGCTGTTGCATGTTATTAACTACTTTTAAGTATTTGCTATATGTTTTGTTAAAATTTCAACAGCCTAGTGAGTAGTATATAAGGCTGTATTAGAAAAGTAATGTTTATTGTGTACTGAACTAGCAACCTTTTGGGACAAGTGTAGATTGTTGTCACGTTTGGTCTGGATATGACACGTGGGCCAACATTTAGAGTTTTTTTTAAAAATCATTTATATGAGGTTTATGGCCCAGGTGACAGCACACAACTGGAAACCATGACATAACATGGAATATGCTTAACATTTTATTTATTACTGGCAGCAGTTATTTCCCTCTGCTTCCTCTTTCGAGCAACAGCCATTAGCCAAACAAACACCAACCAGCTTCAGGTAAGCAGATCATATGAGAAAGCTGAGATTATACAAATTCACATTAATTACCACCAATATGCCAAAATGTAAAATAGTTATGAACTTTTATGAGAGTGTGTTTGCAACGAGACTAGAATAGGTATAGTGTATATCTGCAGCTTTCAGCTCCTTGAGAAAAACAAGAAAAACATCCGAATGAGGTAAATAGCTTATTTTAAAACAGTTTTATTTTGAAGGAATTTGTAGAATAAATTCTAAATTCTAAAGTAAAATAGACTGAAAAAATAGGAATATAGTTTGTTCCTAATATGTCTACCAGCACTGTACGTAGAGATCAGACGACATACGCACTCACTCTCACAGAAGAACTGTTCATCACTGACTTCAAACACATCATTATGTGAAAGCCTTATTTTATGTATTTGGTGCGTATAGTAAATCATAATGGATCCATTGAAATCTGGTTCTGTTTGCCATCGCACCTTGACTTGTGCTTATCTGTAAAAAGCTTTAAAAATCCGTACACTGTCACAGAACACAAGGAAACCAGTGCTAAGGTGAAGGAAAGGGATGAAAATGTATTTATTTTTCATTTTTATGAATTTCATAAAAGTCCATATATTACAGAACAGTGAAGATGGAGATGTAAGATATTTGTTCAAATGATCACAAATGTCTTTTCAGTTGTGCTAACTAGATGTTTTCACATAAGTGTATATACTACATATGCATACTCAATATCAGTAATCAAATTACAGATAAACCGTACAGTTTGCTAAGTAAACACACGTATCCCACGATTGTCACAGATTATTTGTGCAGTATGGTATAAAAGCTGTTTAACAGCCAGTGATAATTGTCTTTAATGTCAATTTGCCACAGTTTTTGAGTGTGCTGTCCCCTTACGGGTGAATCCATCTTTAACCCCCATTAAAAATGTTTTGTTTTTTTTAAGTTTGAGTTTATACTGTATCATATGATACAGTATACAGTGTCAGAGCAACAGTAAAGCATGAAAATGTCTACATCCTGAACATTCAGTCCCCTAAAACATGATGAGAACAACATCACACCGGCATGTCACGCGGTAAACTGTTGAAGAACACCATAGGATTGCAATAAAGAAATCTATATACAACTTATTATGTGTAAAATTTGAACTTTGGCTATTTGTCTGCAATTTTGCGTTCCCTTCGATTAAAATGTATGATTACAGTATTTAAAATTGAAATAAACAAAACTAAATAAATAACAAAATAAACATGGAAAATAAACATCAGTATTTCCATTTGTGCTATCAGAACATTAATCCATTCATCCACCCATTCAGACAATCGACAAAACTTACAGTGCAAAATAAACAAATAATTACAGAAAAAAACTTCAGTGTTCTGGTAGAGAAAATAATATCTCCTGTATGATAAAAGTAGGATTAAAAAATAAACTCCAGACCCTTGTAAAAAATCTAATTTATTTGTTTCCGTTTATAGAGTTTGATTCTGATTCCGTAGCAAGCCTGTGAGACAGGGCTGGTGGAGAATCCTCTGTTTTTCCAGCATCCAGAGTAAAGAGGGATGTACACAAAAAACTGCCCCAAACATTAGCCATGTCTCTTTATTGCTGATAGTTTCCATACTGACCCTTTGTGGAGAAAAACAAAAAAGAAATACATAATGGCATTTAATAAAAGACATCAGACATTGGATGAAATCTGATGGGTGAACTGACCCTCTCATTACTGGGCTGGGTCACTTTGTCATTGTACAGGACGGTCATGGTGTTCACCTGTTCAAAAGGGTAAGACCTCTGTGACGGGGCGGCTGGTCCTGGCTGAATGGAGCGGTATGATGGGTACTGCTGACTCTGGCCCTGCTGATACTGAGGATACTGGGATGAGCTGCCCTGCCCTGCACCTTCAGAGCCAAACAGCACAAGTCTGGATATTGCTGTATATCATCTGTAGGGATCAATTAATACTGAATGAAATTGATGTAATCTGATGTAGTCTGTTACCGTATCCCTGAGGCTGAGCGCTGTAGCCGGCTTGGGATGGGTACTGCTGTTGGCTGAACGTCTGGTGCGTCCCAGAGCCTTGTTGGTACTGTATCTGCTGTTGGCTGTACTGAGAGTTTCCTGAAACATAATTGAGATCATGCATGAAGGGAGAACTGAATATATACTAATAATATATATATACACTATATATACTATAATCTAGTACAATCTACATGACATTTGCAAGCCTGGTATAATGATGATGTCTATTGATTTTCTAGTTCATTATTCGCTTTGGCAGATTATGAGGTTGTTTAATCTGCAAATATAATAAAACCAACATTAAAAAATGAACAGAAAATGAGTAAGGAAAGAAAGGAGCAAGGAACTGAATGACTTAAATTCAAGTTCCCTTTCAGTCGGTCACTCTCGACGTCATGTCGGTGACCGACGAATTGGGATCTCGCTTATGCCGAGTTCACACTGCACGATTTTCAAAGACGTCGCATCACAGTTGGTTTCACACTGAACGACTATCTGGGGAAGCATTCAGTTGTTGCTGTGTTCACACTGCACGATGGAACGATGACAGGAGGTTACACACTGCATGACTCTACAATAGGAAGAATCGCCGACAGCTCTGTCTGGTGCAGGGTTGCCAGGTTTTCGCTACAAAACCCGCCCAATTACTAAAACTAGCCTGAAAATAGCCCAATTGCTTTTGAGGGGGTCCCCCAGTAAAATCGCATTCGGGGGTAAAATACACATTTTTGGGCGGGGTTCTCCTGGTACAATTCACATTCCAGGGCCTAAATATCACGTTATTGGGGTCGCTTCAACCTGCTGACATAAAAAACAAC